TTTTGTTACAAAAAACAAACAAACAAACCAAAAAAGAAAAAGAAAAAAAAAAAAAAAAAAAAAAAAACCAGAGTAAGATTTTGTTACCAAAAAAAAAAAAAAAACCCAAAAACAAACTAACATTTCTACAAATACTTAGAGAATTTACAACAAAGAAATTGGGTATATAGGCCTCTTATTTCTATGAAGCTCAGATTGTTGTCTAATGGCAGGAATTCTTTGTTTGTAGGTATCTACCCATTGCTTTATTTCTCTTGAAAAAAAAAAGTTAGATCCTTTGGTAGAAGTCAATTTTATGCGCAAAAGACCTTGAACTAGATGTCCAAGGCAGGGTAGAATGGGTGTAATGAGCAGCAAAGATTTCTCTGACCAGCTGTGGGAGGCTACACTTGCTCAACTGAGGAAAACTAAGATTGGAGCATCTTAGGTTTCTGATTCATATGAGGAATGAATCTGAGCATCCACCAGCAGCCCATACAGCACTTAAAGATGTTAGTGTAGAGAGAAAAGACCAGGCTCTCAATTGGCATATTTTGATGGTAGGATATTTGTTTGTTTTGCAGATTTCCTTGTGAAGCCTTGTAGGAGAAAAAGTTCTCAAGATAATACTCATTTGGTAAGTTTGTTTTCCTCCTGTGAGCATTCTGCTAATTTGAAGCAGGGTAAAAGCACATACAAATTAGTTTTGTGACATTGTTTGTCCCTGTCCATTTTCATTGGGACCCATGCCAGTATTCTTTATGTCTGAAAGTGTGTTGAATAGTTAATAGTTATCATTCTGTAGCTTTTTTTTTTTTTTTAAAGACATGGTTTCTCTGTGTGGCTTTGGAGCCTGTCCTGTCCTGGAACTAGCTCTTGTAAGGCCAGGCTGGTCTTGAACTCACCAGATATCTGCCTGCCTTTGCCTCCTGAGTGCTGGGATCAAAAGTGTGTGCCACCACCACCTGGCACAATTTTTTTTTAAAATTTTATTTTCATTAAATTTTACATATTGATCCCAGTTCCCTCCCCCCCTTCCCATGCCCCCAAAACTCACCTCCTTCCTGTCCCATTCCCCACCCACTCCACAGGTAGAGTGATGCCTTCCAGGAGGGATCATCAAAATCTGTCAAGTTTTTTTGGAATAGGGTCTAGGTCCTCCCTCATCAGGAATGTGCTCCCATAGTCCTTTCGTGCACCAGGGATACATCCTGGTTCCACTCTTAGAAGTCCCTTAGAGACCCATGTTCATGGGGTTTGAGTCAGTCCAATGCTGGTTTCCCAGCTATCAGTCTGGGGGGCTCCCCCTTGTTCAGGTCAGCTGTCTCTGTGGGTTTCTCCAGCATGGTCTTATCACTCCTCTCTCTCTGTAATTGGATTCCAGGAGTTCGGCTCATTGATTAGTTGTGGGTGTCTGCTTCTGTTTCCATCAGCTACTACATGAGGGCTCTGTGATGGCACATAACTATATATAGTTACCAATCTCATTATCAGGGAAGGACATTAAAGGTAGCATCTTCACTGTTGCTCAGATTATTAGATGGGGTCATCCTTGTAGGTCTCTGGTCTCTTCTTTTCAAACCTATAATGGCTACCTCTATTATGGCATCTCTTTTTTTGCTCTCATTTATTCGTCCCCAAATTCAGTCTTCCTGGTCCCACATGTTCTCCTCTCCTCCCCTTCTCTTTCTCCTAACTCCCTCTCCACTCACTACTCCCTCCCTATCCCCCCCCCCCCCCCCCAGTATGCTCAGGAGATCTTGTTCCTTTTCTCACTGGGATGGTTTCTTCAAGTTCCATCCATTTGCCTGTGAATTTCAAGTTCCATTGCCCATCCCCCCCCTCCCCCCGCCCCCCCCCCCGCTGAATAGTATTCCATTGTGTAAATGTTCCACATTTTCTTTATCCATTCTTCAGTTGAGGGGCATCTAGGTTGCTTCCAGGTTCTCGCTATTACAAATAATGCTGCTATGAACATAGTTGAACACATGTCTTTGTTGCATGGATATGGATCTTTTGGGTATATGCCTAAGAATGGAATTGCTGGGTTCTGTGGTAGACTGATTCCCATTTTCCTGAGGAACCACCATACTGATCTCCAAAATGGCTGTACAAGTTTGCACTCCCACCAGCAGTGGAGGAGTGTTCCCCTTTCTCCATATCCTCTCCAGAATAAGCTGTCATTGGTGTTTCTGATTTTATCTATTCTGACAGGAGTAAGATGGTATCTCAGAGTTGTTTTGACTTGCATTTCCCTGATGGCTAAGGATGTTGAGCACTTTCTTAACCGTCTCCCCCCACCCCCAATTTTGGATTCCTCTATTGAGAATTCTCTATTCAGTTCTGTACCCCACTTTTTAATAGGATTATTTGGTGTTTTGTTGACTAGTTTGAGTTTTTGTATATTTTGGAGATCAGCCCTCTGTCAGATGTGGGGTTGGTAAAGATCTTTTTCTACTCTGTGGGCTGTTGTTTGGTCTTGTTGACTGTGTCCTTTGCCTTATAGAAGCTTCTCAGTTTCAGGAGGTCCCATTTATTAATTGTCGATCTCATTGTCTGTGCTATTGATGTTATGTTCAGGAAGCGGTCTCCTGTACCAATTTGTTCAAGGGTACCTCCCACTTTCTAAGAGGTTCAGTGTGGCTGGATTTATGTTGAGGTCTTTGATGCATTTGGACTTAAGTTTTGTGCATGGCAATAGACATGGTCTACCTGTAGTCTTCTACACAACAGCATCCAGTTTTCCAGCACCATTTGTTGAAGATGTTTTCCTCTTTCCATTGTATAATTTTAGCTGATTTGTCAAAAATCAGGTGTTCGTAAGTGTGTGGGTTAATATCAGGATTTTCGATTCAGTTCCATTGATCTACCTGACTATTTTTGTTGGCACAAAAATTTAAAGAATACTGGTGTACTCTCTAGCCTGTCCTCTCTTCAGTCACCATTAGGCAATGACCTTGCCTAGTTTCCATGCCAGGATCAAGTTCCTTAGTATGGCATGCAACAAATCACCTATAGCTGGTCACCTAGTCTCTGTACATGTAGTGTAACCATCCTGGACTACATTCTAGCTTTCAAATGGTCTCTCTCTCTCTCTCTCTCTCTCTCTCTCTCTCTCTCTCTCTCTCTCTCTCTCTCTCTCGTGTGTGTCTGTGTGTGTGTGTGTAAAACCATCCTGGACTACATTCTAGCTTTCAAATGGTCTCTCACTCTCTCTTGTGTGTTCTAGTATGAGATGTCCTGTTCATTCATTCATCCTTAGTGGTTATTTGGATTGCTTTCCACCCTTTGGCTATTTTGAATAACTGAAGTAGATAGAAATTTTCATGTAGATGTATGTTTTGTTTTCTTGATTAGATATGTAGGAGTGGACTTATAGTGTCATGCAATAACTATATTTTATCATTTGAGGGTGAACCTTCCTGCTAACATTGTGAAAGAATAATTATTTTCTTTTTACATATTTTAAAAAACAATTTCTACAAGGAACATGTAATACTAACTAGTACAACTAAAACATTAATATGTTTTATGGTGTTTACCAGACTAACTGTAATGACTTAATTTCTTCCTTTTGTGTTGAGAATATAACTACCATGCTGGGGTTCATGTTTTTTTTTAGCTGAGGTGCTGCATTCACCACTGTTTCTTGAGGATTGGTCCTTTGGTCTTTGTAGATTTAAAGGGAACTGTTAGCAATTACTTAGTTCCTACTGGTTTCAAACTTATCCTTGATCTTGGCTTATGGATTTGGAATTCATTAAGTATTATCCTATAGTAACTTAGGTCTTTTCTTCTTCTTCTTTTTTTTTTTGTTTGTTTGTTTGTTTTGAGACAGGGTTTCTCTGTGGCTTTGGAGGTTGTCTGGAACTAGCTCTTTTAGACCACTCACAGAGATCTCCCTACCTCTGCCTTCCGAGTGCTGGGATTAAAGGCGTGTGCCACCAATGCCCGACTCTTAGTATTTTCTTGATTGATTAAAACAGCACCTTTTATTTGGAGACCCTTCTCCTAGTAGTAGATTAACTGGTTCCTCGTGCAAGTTATTCTACCACAGAGCTACACAGAGCTACATCCTGCTCCCTATTTTGAGCTGTTTTTTATGTGTTTTATTATTTTCCCTCCTGAATGATACATTCTCTAATTAATCTTGCTTATCTATCATAGCCAGTTTTTTCTTAAATTTTATGTGCATCCGTGTTTTGCCTGCATGTATGTCTGTGTGAGGGAGTTAGATTACCTAAAACTGGAGTTAATAGACAGTTGTGAACTGCCATATGGATGCTGGGAATTGAACTGGGTCCTCTGAAAGAACAACCAGTTCTCTTACCTGCTGAGCCATCTCTCTAGCCCCATAGCCAGGCTTTTATGTACACTCCTGATAACATTTCCAAATATTGTTCAGATCATTAGTGTTTTTCTTGTTTATACTGCCCTGCCTCTGTTCTAAATAGAAATAGGGAGCCCACCTTTGCATTTCTAGTTGGGTGTTCTTTTGTTCTTAGAAACACAGGTGAAACTATTATAAGTAGTTTCATGTAAGCACAGAATGTCAAGATAATAAGGCATTTGATTCATATTTTACCTACTAAGTCAAGTTTGTTTCCATAGATGAGGAGATCCATTCTTAGTAATATAAGCCACATAAACATCTTGGAATATTAGCAGAATATTGTGTTTGCACGTTGATTTAAATTACTGTTTTTTTAATCTTTCTGCAAGATTTATAACATTTGAAAATTACTGTCAATATGAATCTTTTGCCAAGATTTATAACATTTAAACATCTCTATCAATAAAGAATGTTAATGTTTTCCACTTTTCTTATAGAACTAGTTAAAGTTAGTATTTTCACAAAGGTATTGTTAGTTTAGAACTAATGGTGAAGATTTAGCTTGCTGATATTCAACTTTTTCTGGGCTGACTGGTTGAATTTCACGACTCTATATGCAGTCTCTTTAATTAGGGAAAAAACTATTGCCAATTTTGCCTCTCTCTCTTTTTCTTTCCTAAAATAAAAGGTCTCAAGCAGAAGAGAAAGAAGAGCCTTGTTAGAGACTGGAGAAGGACGGGGTCTCTCCTGCCCTAGCCAGGTCATGGTAAGCACAGAAATAAGGAAATTAAAGTTGTAATCTTGTTTTGATGATATACTAATACATCTGTTTCTGTTTTGTAAGAAATGATTTTATTTTTTCCCATTTCCTAATTATCTCTATCTCCTTTGTCAGTTCTTCAGTACCAATCCAGTATGAATAGAAGAGCTACATTTGTGGTAGCTGAATTCTGAGAGATAGATATGTAGCACACCTTGTCAGTAAATGAAGGCAAGATTGAAATATATTAATTCTTGGACTCTAGGATTTTCTTTCATTTCTTCCTTTACTGTGAAGCTGGCTTAGAGATATAGCTCAGTGCTAAACCATATGATGTTACATATATGCGGTCCCAAGTTCACCTCTTCCCTATCCCTAAAATAATTCTAGGAAGCATGATATGTAAAAATGATTTTTGTGTGCTTGTTCGGTGTGTGTGTAGAGAATTGTGAGATGGCCACTTGCAATTTTTTTCTTTATTTTGATTAACAGAATTGTGAAATATTATGAAATGTCTTGCAAAATAGGCATATAATATAAAATGGTCAAATTGAGCTAATTAATATAGTACACATTCTCTATGAGTTTGATTTCTGGATGGAAGCAATTTCCTGTTTTTCCTGGTGTGTCTTTAAGACTCTTGACCACAGCAGCTGTGCACACCCAGCCCATACCTTTCCCTGAAGAACACAATGGACATTTCAGTGGCATGTGGGCCATTTAGGCAGAAAAGATGGAACATAGCCATCAGTTCTAAGGATGTGTAAGTAAAGCAAGGATTGAGGACTAGAGAGATTATTCTTTATAACATTATTTGTTTGTGTTTGCTGTTTACCATGTGGCAGTTCCTACACCCAAAGCATTTAATTAGAGGCTTGCCAACAGTTCCAGAGGGTTAGTCCATACCCATCATAAGAGCATCATAGAAGCATAGTGGCAGGTGGCAGGCATGGTGCTGGAATGGTAGCTGAGAGCTTTTGAAACCTCAAAGCCCACCCCCAGTGAAGCATCTCCTCCAACAAGGCTTTACTTCCTAATCTTTCCCAAAAAGATCCACCAACTGGGAACCAAGCATTCAAGTATATAAGCCAATTGGGGTCATTCTCATTCAGACTACATTATAGCAAAAAAAAAAAAAAAAAAGCTAGGATTTAAATTTTTGCCATTAGAACTCATGGTTATATGTGTATTGTTTTCTGACTGGTCCATGTCATTCATTCACATGTATGTATAAATAAATCTTGTAAGACAAGCTTCAAATTTGCTATTCCATAAAATGATTTAAATATTTTCTCATTTGTCTATTAGATTCCTTATAATTATTTTGTTAGCTGTGCAGTTCCCTGAAATTATTGAGTCATTGATTTACTATAAATAGTATTGTTTTAATAATTAGCATTTTGTTCTTAATCCTTAGTTTTTGTGGAAAATTCTGGAACACTGAATTTTGATTTTTGGTGTTTTTTGTTGTTGTTGTTTGGGTTTTTGAGACAGGGTTTTTGTCCTGGAATTCACTGTGTAGACAAGGCTGGCCTTGAACTCACAGATCTGCCTGCCTCTGCCTCCTGAGTGCTGGGATCAAAAGTGTGTGCCACCAACGTCCAGGGAATTTTGTTTTTTTAAAAGATCGGTTTCATTTATTCTTTGACAATTTCATACATGTCCATTGTTTTGATGATATTCAATTTCACTTCGCCCCTACACCATCTGGACCCTCGCCAGTACTCCCCCTTCCACCTTCATCATCTCTTCCTAGATATGTTACAAAGCACTCTTTCCACCAGCCTGGTCCTACAGCCATGCCACCCCAAACGATCACTCAGAGACTTATATTAATTATAATAGTGTTGGCCAATGGCTTGGGCTTCTTATTGCTTAGCTTTGTCTTAATTATTAATCCATAACTACTAATCTGTATTTCTACATGGTCTGTCTTACTGAGAACACATGACTTGCAACCTCTCTTTCCAAGCTCACATCATTGACTCTTCTTTGCCTACACCTCCCAGAATTCTCTTCATCTGGTAGCCCTGCCTATCCTTCCTGTTGGCCACTAGCCACACAGTGCTTTATTTATTAACCAATAAGAGAAACATATGTACAGAAGACATCCCCATCATAGATACCTCCTTTTTCAAAGGAATGGAGTGTGCTTTTGAGAGATTGGTGATTAGACAGATGTTTCCAGGGTGGTTGTTTGTTCCCAATAGGACTCTCCAGCCTATGTAAGAAGAAGGAAGCACACACAGCTGTGAATTTGAAGGGTGTACACTGAGTTCCAGGTCAGCCTAAGCTACAGTGTGAGACCCTGTCTGTAAAGAGATAGAAAACAGACAAACAAAAAACGAACAAAACCAAACAACAAACAAACAAACCTTTCTGTGTAGTGTTGTCTAACATGTTTGGGGCCCCGATTTGATCCCCAGTAAAGTGGAAATGAAGGGGTTTTGACGATGTGAACAGAGTTCATCATAATCTAGAGCCAGGCTTTCTTATAGACTCTATGTTTCTTGGGTCACCCTGTACTGTCATAGCCAGAGTGTAAAGTAGCCATTTTTGTGAGTGCTTAACTTCCTAATTTGAAATTGCCTGAACTGGAATAACTAGGGATTGTAGATTACATTGTTTTACATTTAGGAAATTTAGTTCTTAGATTTATGTGTGTGTGTGTGTGTGTTTTATTAAAGCACAACTTTTTAAAGTTTTCAGTTATGCAGATTACACACAAAGGATAAACAGTGTAGCAAACTTCCATTCAACACCTAATAGTTTCATGAATTATCAATTCATAGATACTTCTGTTTCATTTATTCTTCCTTTCTTACACCCCTTAATTATGTTGACGTGAATTCCAAATGTCTATTTATTCTTAAGTAATTATGTATTTCTCAAAAATAAAGATGCAAGATTATAACAAAGAGCAAAATTACTGCTTCTTGTTTTTTTTTTTTTTTTTCAAAAGCCACTATAGCTTCTTGGTGCCCACAGAAACGGTAATGCCTGATACTTTTTGTATCAGTGTGTCCTCAGATTAGGGATACTTGTAATAGTCAGACTTCTGTTCCTATTACAAACGCCTGAGAGAAGTCAACTAAAAAGGAGAAAAGATTTATTTTAGCTGACAGTCTTGGTCAGTTGGCCCTCGTGTATGTATAGTAAGGTGGGAACATGTGATGGAAGCCCACTTACCTAGAGCCCAAGAAACAGAGGAGGGGCTAGGTCCCTCCATTGGCCTACTTTCCTCCTACTGTCTCTCAGTTTCTAACTCCCTGTTAACATTGCTGTGTATTAGCACCATAGCTTTTAACATGTGGGCCTTTGGGGAACCCTTATACAAACCATAGCAATATGTAATATATCAGATGAAACACTTTGAGGGCTAGTTTTCCTTGAGCTTTTGTGCTTGCTTCAAAATGGTCATTGGATTATTATTGTGATTATGTAAATAAACATGGCAGAAAAATCAAATATAGATGATAAATAGAAGTTTTAAAATTATTTAAGCATTGTTGGTTTTTCCAGGATGAAGAGATGCGGCATAGCCTGGAGTGCATCCAAGCCAATCAGATCTTTCCCAGGAAGCAGCTGATTCGGGAAGATGAAAATCTTCAGGTATTTGCACGCCATTTTTGACTGTGTAATATGTGTTTAGCATTATAGTAATGATGGAGCAAAGCTAGTAGATTGAAGTAATGTATAATAGATACATTTCCTAAACTGTACATATAGAAATACAGTCTGGAAAACCATGTTCCTTCTTGTGGGAGTTATTTCCTAAAAGTTAATTGCTTGAGATGACCATTTATCTCATTATAGAAGTTCTTAAGTTTGGGTAAGTATATTGGAATTAGGCGAGTATAAACCAACTTTCAGTTTCTTTCTTTAAATGTATATGGCAGAGGGTTTATTGTCCATTTGTTCACCTGGCCGTTTATTTACCTGACTTGCTTTTGAAGACTTAGCTTTTCTACTATGGAACTCTGAAAGGTATCTTGTGTTTTTTTTTTCAGGTTCCTTTTCTTGAACTTCATGGAGAGAGCACAGAGTATGTGGGCCGTGCTGAGGATGCCATCATAGCCCTTTCTAATTACAGACTTCACATCAAGTTTAAGGAGTCTCTTGTTAATGTAAGTGATTACCAGCTGTTCTCCCTGTAGGGTGAATAGGAAAAGGAAGAGATAAGAGTTGTACAACCTTGGGTATGTGAAAGCATTGTGTGCTATGCTTTTCTCTAGGAATATTTGGTTAGTAAGGTACACATATGCTTTATTAAAACAATTTGTCTTGTCTACTCAGGGTAGCCATTGTTAGTTAATGCTAAATAACTCATATCAGTATTGTTAAGCTTTACAAAGGTACCAAGACTATATAGGCCTTTCCCTACCTCTCTTAGTCTTTAGTAGTTTCTAGCTGCTTCGGTTGAGATCATTCCTTGGGTCTTAATGTCAAACAAGAAGATGTTCTTTGAGTTTACTACTTCCTACTAAAGAGAAGGAAGCTTGAAGTTGTTATGAGTACATTTGCTGTTTTTCAGTTATGAGTGTCCACTCAGTAAAACTGGTTCCTCCAGTGCACTGCTGTCTTCAATGAACCAACACAGAAAGACCCACAAGTTCAATAATTTCCACCAGTCGAGAACAATCTTTCCCCTTTACTTGCCAGTGTTGTGGCTTTCTGCATTTCAGTGCCAAGTGCAGAGAAGTGTGTTGTGATGTCTTTAAGAGTTCAGGCCTACATTCAGATTATGTGATTTGTGGATTCTTTGAAATTTTTTGTTTGCATTTATTTTATTCACCTAGAAGTTATCCAACTACTCAAATTGTAGTCTTTGATTTATGACAAGATTAGTGCATTTTTGAGTTGGTATTTATTAGTCATTTATTATAGTTAAATATTTATGTTCTCCAGCCATTTTGACCTCAATTCGGCTGCCTCCCATCTAGATTTGGGTTATGTCTGTATTCTGTCCATTAGCTAAAAGTGCACACCAGAGTCATCAAGGAAGAAGAACATTTACTGTGTTCACAGTGTGCTTCCTGTTGTTGTCATAAACACTGTGACCAAAGGCAACTTGGGGAAGAAAAGATTTATTTCATCTTACAATTTACAGTCTATTATTGAGGAAAGTCAAGGCAAGAACTCAAGGCAGGAACTGAAGCGGAACCTAGGGTGGTACTGCCCACTGTGGACTGTGCTCTTCCACATCAATAATTAATCAAGAGTACACCCCACAGATATGCCCACAGGCGAATCTGATGGAAATAATCCCTCAATTGAGGGGCCTTCTTCCCAGGCGACTCTAGTTTGTGTTAACAAAAGTAACTAGCACAAGGGTTGTGGTGGGTAAAGAGTGGAAGTGATACAATAGGAGCAATTGAAAATCTCCTACCATGTTCTGTAGGAGTGAGTAGCATTACTATTCAACTTACACTTAAGTTTTTGTTCTTTAAATGGTTGGAATCAATGAACTTGAAATTAAATTGCCTGTGAGAACATTAAGGTTTCATTCCATTGCATTTTCCCATATCATCTCATTTATCAGCTCACTAGATTTGGCTAAGTATTTGAAGGTCTACTTTTAGATTTGCTTGGGAATAGGGCCTGTTTGAGAATCACATCGTCTGCCATCTTAAAGCTGTTCTCTTTATTTGTTTTATGAAAGTCAAATTAGGATGCATGATGTGAGGGCTGTGGTCCTTGACCCTGCCAGCTTTTTTGTCTCCTTTCTACCAGTAAAAGTAGCTTCCCTGGAGCACGCTGGCAGACCTCATACTTTTGCACATTTTCCCTTCTCTCATGCCTGGGAACTTTCTCTTCATCTCTTAGAACTTGGTCTAGGTAATAACTTCCTCTCTGAAGCTTTGCTCAATCCTGTTCCCTTCCTGGCAGTAGTTGCACTCAGTGGCCTGCTTCTGTTTGTTAACATACTTCCACAGCATTTACTAGACATGTTGTAACTCCTTGTTGATCTGTCTTTGTGTTTTCAGGACCCAATATGTTTCCTGATGCCATGCAACTCAGTAAATAATGCAGTGAATTGAAATTAGTATGGATTTGAAATGGATATTCCCTTTTGGATTTTTAAGTGCATTTTAAAACAGTGTGTTTCTGTGAATAGGTCTATATCATTCATATTTATCTCTTATAGTAGCTATATGAGTAGTTTGCAGGTGGCAATTTTTCCATAGTGTGATTTTAATGTTTAAGAAACTGACTACTTTACTTTTAATCCATTTCCTCAAATGAAAGTGTTTCCTCTAGCATTATAACTCCCTAAGACTTAGAGACTACATGTCACTTACAAAACCCTTAATACTGTATTTGCACAGAAACATGATTATGCAAAATTATCTTGACATTGTAGGCACTACGAACATTTTCTAGGGAGAAACACCACAGTGCTAGGGTTCCTTAAGCCTGAAGTCACTCCAGGAAAAGGAAGGCTGGCTTCTCCTGCAGCAGATCCTAGATGGGAGACCAGAGGATAGATAGTGGTTGCCCCTCTCTCTGTCCCTCTAATCTTTCTTCAGCAGATAAGTATTATAGCAAAACACAACTCTATTAAAGTTTTTTTTCTTTTTATGTAAATCATGTACATTTAAGCCATTAGAACCCAAATGTGCTATCTCTATTGTGGCATGCCCCATTTTGCATTATTTAGTACTTCAGAAAATGACTTGCCATTAAGGTTTAAATAACCACCCAATATCAAACATCTTCTCAACTTCACAGCACATTGAATGTTTATAGGCTTGTATACTATAAGCACTATTTCTTTAATCTACACACCCTCAGTAGACATCAAGCTTACAGTTCCTAGGGTGAAGTAAGTACCTCTGTGGTAGAGTCCATTCATAGCATTCCTGGTATGAGCAATCCTTTATTCTTTATTTTCCATAACTATATTTCCATAACTATATTAAACAACTAAGTGTTTAAAGTGGGACTTATGAAAGTTTAAGAGTTTTTGTTGTGTAATTCAATAGACTGATCTCAGTCTTTTGCTGCTTCTGAAACCTCAGTAGGTGGCATGAGACTCTTAGGTATGGCTGCTTCACTGTTTAGAAAAAAATTGGTCTTGAGTGTTGGATATTTATCTTGCAATAATCAAAATGCGTCTCCTTTGCATGAATCTATTCTCTTTTGTCAGTGCTCTAGTTTTTGTTCTTAAGAGAATATTCTGTGGGCTGAAAATAAAGCCCTACAGTCTGAACATAAGCGATGGAATTAATGACCTTCAAAATTGTATATTGAGGTGTTGTACGGTGGCGCAGAGGATAAGAGCACTGGCCACTTTCTGGTTCTGAGTTTAGTTTTCAGCACCCACATGGTAGCTCACAACCATCTATAATGGGACCAATTGCCTCTTCTTGTGTGCAGACATTTTGTGTAGGCAAAGCACCCATATACATAAATAAGTATATATTTTTTAAGTGTAGACCAAGGGTGGAGGAGATGGCTCAGCCGCTAAAGGCAGTTTTGGGCAAGCCTGAGTTCAATCCCTGGAACCCACATAAAGGTGGAAGGAGAGAACCAATTCCCTATAGTTGCCTTCTGACCCTAGTATACTTACTGTGGTATCTATGTGTATATGGGCGTGCTCATGTGCATATGCATGTGTGTGTACAAAATAATACATTTATAAAAACTTAGACTGAGTTTTAAGCGGAAATGATTTATAAAAGTTTGTTTCTAGATCAGTCTGTCAGTTCCAAAGGTGGCAGTCTAACAACTGAATACACCTTCCCTTGGCATTCTCCTTTGTCTAGCAGTCACCTTTGTTTACCATACACCAGAAAGACATTTTTGTTATTTTGTTCATTTATTTTTTTGAGACAGGATCTTCTTGTATAGCCATAGCAGACCTTGCTATGGTGCTAACTTGGAGCCTAGACAGGTCTTGAACTCTGGCAGTCCTTCTGTTTGGGCCTCTATAGTGCAGGGAGTTTAGGAATGTGCTCAAATACCAGGCTTCAAATGTAAGTTTTGTTAATGGCTAATCCCTTTTGGTTTATTGTTCTACCATTAGGGGCTTCTGAAAGCAGAGTTGGAGGGGTAAACTTGTTTATATCCAAAATGAACAGTGTAGCTCTTTAATCTATGGCAGTCCCCTTTTCTGGTCAGTTTTTAAAAGAAAAGTTTTGGTCCTTTAAATATTGTGTAGTTTATTGCTTGTTTCATTCATATATATATTTCCCCCCCTTATTTTACATACTTATCCCTGTTCCCTTTCCCTCCCTCTCATACCCTCATTCCACCCTCCACCCCCACCCCCACTCCACAGGAAGAGTGATGTGTAGGCTTGTTTCTTGCTGGCATTATTTCCACTATGTTATGCCATTTCTGCTTCAGGTGTACATATAAAATTAGTTATGAAAAGAGTGATGAGTTTCAGGGTTTGAGACAGGGTTTTTCTGTGTAGCCCTGCCTGTCCTGGAACCCACGCTGTAGCCCCAGCTGTCCAATGTCTTCTGAGTGCTGGGGTTAAAGAATGCCCCACCAAGCCTGGAAAATTCTGATTCTTAAATATAATGGACACACACATGCAGAATGAACTGAGGCAGTAAAATAATGGAGCATGATGCCATCAGAATGGGCGTCCTGTGTACCGTTACCGTTTTAAACTCATGCGTTCTTACTTCCTTGGATTGATGACCTTAGGGGTTTGGTGCCTCTGATACAACTTTTAGCCTTTTGAATGTTTAATTAACAGTAATGAGTGTTCAATGCATTACTTGGGTGTGAATTTGGTTGAAAAGTACTTTTGAGAGAGAATTAACCTGGCAAATAGAAGATGGAAGAAAAAGAAGTGAAAAGAGGAGTGGCTGTGGAGTCTCTTATGGGTGATGGAGGATGAAGATTCTTCAGATTTCCTAGCCTCCAAGGACTCTAGTTTTCAATTGTTTTTCCTGTCTTGAAAAATCTCTGCAGAAAGGCCACTTATTTGTGAAAGAAAAGTCTAGTAGAGCTCAATACAGAAGGGAAGGTCTTAGAGGGAGGAAGAGAGGCAGACAAAACAGTGTATGGTGGAAGAAGCCTGGGCTACAGAGCAGACATGGCTGTGTCCACTGTATAGCGGTTTGACTTTCCTGAGCCTTTGAATCTTTCATTCTTTGTCTACAAGGTTGTATACTGGGTATACAGTTAAGAAACTGTGAGGGTTTTTTTTGGGGGGGGTGCTTTTGAGGGAAGTTGGGAAAGCTAGAGCAGTGGTGTAAGCCTTAAGAAAGGAGAGGAACTTACATGCACAGGAGAAAAAGGTGGCCAAATCTCTCTCTTAAAGGAGACAGAGGGGAGCCTGGGACAAAAAAGGAGAAGGAAGGGGTGGGGAGGGAGACACCATTGATTCAAAACTAGGTATCTCTTGTATTCTTTTCTTGCATGTGACAATCTGTGTATTAACATTTTCTGTTTTGTAGAGTTGGGGAGGCAGCTCAGTGGTTAAGAGCATTTGTTGCACCAGCAGAGAACCTGGGTTTGGTTCTCAGTATGCACATAGGCCATCTGTAACTAATTTCAGGGGATCAGATGCTCTTTTGGCCCTTGTGTTACATAGACATAACATGCAGGCAGAATACCCATACACACAACTAAATAAATCTTTAAAAAAGTCTTCATTTCTCCACATCTGTGACTCCAATTGTTTATATACAAGTACCAACATTCCCCCCACCCCTTCTTATTCCTCAAGAATAAAGATTAAGGGGTTAGAAAGGTGGTCAAGTGGTTAAGAGCATGAACTTGCCATTGTAGATGACCCGAATTCAGCTCCCAATCTGTTACTCCAGCTCCAGAGGGTCCAACACCTCTGGCCTCTGAGGGCAACCACATGTACACATACATGCAAATGAAAATAAAAGCTTTACAGGTTTCTCATTTACCAGACTGGCAGATAACCCCACCATGTTTTAAAAGATCGAGGAAAGAACTAGGCATTGATGATGCACACACCTTTAGTCCCAGCATGTGGGAGGCAGAGGCGGGGGACATCTCTGTGAGTTTGAGGCCAGCCTGGTCTACAGAGTGAGTTCCAGGACAGCTAGGGCTGTTACACATAGAAAGCCTGTCTCAAAAAACAACAAATAAACAAAAAACAAAAACAAAGGGGGAAAATACATTAAAAAACAAAGAGAAGATATTTACAGGGAACGTGTAGGATTGCTTGAGAACAAGTCAGTGTTTATATTTTAAATTGTCTTCTTTAAAAAAGAAAAAGTTTTGTTTTGTTTGTTTTTTAAGATAGGGTTTGTCTGTGTAGCCCCGATTGTCCTGAAATTTTCTCTGTAGACCAGGCTGATCTCAAACTCACATAGATTTCTGCCTCCCCAGTGCTGGGTTTAAGGTGTGCGCCACCACTGTCTGGCATTAAATTATGTTTCTTTCTTTATTGTGTGTGAAACTTGAACTCAAGTTGCAATGCTTGGTGGAAAGCACTTTCTCTTCCCTCTTGATCTCCATATTCTCTGGACAATTCTCTCCCTCCTCTCACTTCCCCAGATTTACAGGCTCTTGAAAGAATTTTTAGCTGCATCAGCTGCAGTTTCTTATTTAGCACCTTGGGGTTAAGGGTTTTAAGAAGCAGAGAGCCAAAGACTTTTTTTTTCTTGGAATATAAGCAAGGATGCATATTATTCCTCTTAAACTCCAAATTTATTATAATAAACTTATTATTATAAACTCCCTTGTAGGGAGATAGTTTTTATAGATTATATATTTAGAAACAAGGCTTTCACCCCAAGGCAAAAACTCCCAGGCTTATCTGCATAATACTATTTTGTTTTTCTGCTCTTTTTCAATATGTGCCCCAGTTTCTGTTTCTGTGTTTCAGCCTTCTAGCAGTGAACTTCTTTATGACCCCACAGCCTTGTTCTGAGGGTTCTATGCTGATTCTGGCAGCCACATGTTAGGTCAGAGTTTGTAGTAAGCCAGCTCTGACACTAGCAGGGCTAACATGGGGCTACCCCTTGGAGGCAGCATGATTGGTGAACAAACTACACAAGTTGTTGGAGTGCTACTTGCAGTTCCTGTCGCCACATTTGACTGGGTTTGATACAATGTTAGGTACAAGCAAACTACTCTTTTCTTCCAAGGCCTTATTTGTGTACGTAGTCTGGGTGGTAGTGGTAAATGCCATTAATCCTAGCATTTGAGAGGTAGAGAGGCAGGCAGATCTCTCTGAGTTAGAGGCTAGACTGGTCTACAGAGTGGGGAATTCCAGGGCAGCCAGGATTACACAGAGAAACCCTGTTTCAAGGAGGAGAGGAAAAAGAAAAAGAAAAAAAAAAAAAAGAGTACTCAGGGCTGGTTGAAACTCAGTTGCCTATCAGCATCAAGCCCTGGACACCAAGTACCACATAAACAAGCCATAGTGGTATATATAGGCTGTAATACTAGCAAGAGAGTCAGAATTCAAGGTTGTCTTCAGTGACAAAGGGAGTTTAATGCCAGCCTGGGATGCAAACAACCCTGTCTTTCTTTTAAAAATGAATTTATTATTTATGTTATTTGGAAATTGCTTTTGTAGTTGGAGGTTAAGTAAGGAGGAATGTCCTTGGGTCAGCCTAAGGGTCATTTACACACTTCAGAGGCATTTCTTCTGTCTCACTGGATATTTACTCTGTCCACTATTGTTAACTAGGGCCTGCTGACCCAATTGTCGGGGACGGGGACCATTCTGTTTCACCCAAACTTTGATTCCTACTTGGCAAACATGACTTTCAGCTGTTGTTTTTTGTTATTGTTATTTTGTTTGTTTGTTTTGAACAAGTTGGATCTAGCCGATTTTAGGTTCTTTGACTACTGTATAACTTCTTGTTATCTCTAATCTACTCTATTAAGCAGGGACTCTGACCAGTGGCTCCTGGCATGCCATCTTTTATTGTAACCTGAAGACAGTTAGGCCTCCAGCTTCTTCCAGAAGCCTCCTTTGCTAAGAACTGAGGAATAAATCTACTCTGGTATCTGGAACAGTGAATACAATCAGCCTGTTTGTACTTGGCCAGTAGTGCTCTTCAACTTTCGTGTAACTGTGAATCATAGCTTCTTAAAGTAGTACCTTGAGAGATGAGCTTGTGAGTTTGATACTCAAGGATTTATTTCCTCTTCTCTTCCAGAGTCATGACTCTTCTTGGTGGTCATCATGCTGTGACTTGAAGTCACTAATTTAAGGAAATGGAAACTCTAATTCACTCTTTAGTAAATCACTCCTGGTCCAGCCAAACTTTCACCTCTGTTTGCTTCTTTCCTTGCTAATCAGTTGGGCTAAATGTGCCTGCAAAGTCAATGCCTTTTTGACCAAGAGGACTTTATCCTTTTTAATTGCAGGTTCCATTACAGCTTATAGAAAGTGTTGAATGCCGTGATATATTTCAGCTTCATTTGACATGCAAAGACTGCAAAGTTATCAGGTAGGTGATGTATTTGTGAGTCTGTGAAGTATTGGCAAAAATGGTCTTTCAAGTTTGTTACATAGTTTGTTAGCAAAATGTCTTTTGAAGGTCCACTTTGTTAGAATAATTTCTGAGTAGTTAGTGCCTGAAATATTTTATCTTTAGTGCATATTGCTATACAAACAGATACTTCTTATTTGGAAAGAATTTTAAATATATAAAAAGCATAAAAATTAAAAAAATACAATTGTGTACCATTTATCCCTGTTAATACTTTAATGTAACATGAATAATAAAAGAACCCAGAGACTGATAGTGGGTTCAAACTTCAAGCTGAATATCAGAAAAGCAAAGCGGCTGGCCACTCGCTTCTCACCTCTGCTTTGGACTGAATGTGCTGGTCCTGTCTTCATGAGCTCTCACCAAGCCTCAGACTGTAACCTGTCCTGTGGCTGGAGAATGAATGCCTCCACTGAGACCTTGCTTCTGTCTTGTATACTTCCCTAATGTTTGGATTAAAGGTGTTAGCTACAATTCTCTTTTAGACTGATTCACTTTCATGTAGATCTAGGTGGCCTTAAACTCAGAGAGCGCTGTCTACCTACCACCACCACCACTTAGCTTCTGGCTGCTTGTATTAAAGGTGTGCGCCTGACTTCTATGGCTGACTTTGCTTTTCTGAATCCTCAGTCAAGCTTTCATAAATCACAAGTAATATGTCACTACAACTTTACCCCAATTTACTTTATCATTTGCAGTGTGTGTGTGTGTGTGTGTGTGTTTTCTGTGTGTGAGAAACAGAGATTCTCTTCTGAAAAATTAAAGTAAGTTGTGTCACTTGGCTCTTCAACCTTTAGTTGTGCTTTCCTAACAGTAGAATATTTTCTGAACCTGTACATCATTGTCAGTTTCACAAGTTTACAATGATAAAACTTTTGCCAAATCTACCGTCTCTGCTCCAGAGATGTCCTTTATAGCATTCATCCTCACCCTTCTCATTCTGCACATCCAGTAAAGAATTCAGAGTCAGACAATGCGCTTAGTTGCCATGACTGTATGTAATCTTTAATATTGAATCTTTGTGTCACCTTTCTCTGTCTTTAAAAAAATGGTATTTTGAATAATATAGTTTTCTGTTTCAATATTGTCTTTTTTAAACTTATGCTTGTCTAGTTTCCTCAAGATTAAATTGAAGTTATGTGTCTGCAACTTGCAACTATTGGAACTTTCTCTCTGTCTCTCTCTCTCAAGATATTGTGTTATATCCAGAGACAATTGATTCACTTGTCCCCTATTGATCAATGATTTTTGATTAGTTCAGTCAAAGTGTTACCTAATTTCTGTAATACTAGTGAATTTCTACATTTTTCCTTATAACTAATAAATAATTGAGAAAATGCAGGCGTCTTGTCTCTCAAAATTTCACATTCATTCATGAATTTTTTTTGGGGGGGGTCTTTCTAGACAGAGTTTCTCTATATTGCTTTGGGGCCTGTCCTGGAACTCGCTCTGTAGACCAGGCTGGCCTTGAACTCACAGATATTCACCTGCCTCTGCCTTCTGAGTGCTGGGACTAAAGGCATATGCCAACACCAGACCTCATACATGATTTTATCAGATCTAATTTTAACTCTAATTGTTACAAAATAATGCCTGGAATAAGTTTTTGACTTAATAACTCTAGATATGCTCTGTTCTGGACATTTTTACTTTATTCCTTTGATCTGTTTTGTGGTAGCAGTAAACACTATGCTATCATGTTAGTACCAAGGAAGGCTGTAAATGATCTCCTTGTAAAGGAAAACATTAATGTGCCTTTTTAGCTACTCACATTAGTCTTAACTTCCTGAAACACTGTGTAGCCCAAGGTGGCCTGAGACTTGTAATACTCCTGCTTCAACTTTCCAAGTGCTGTAGTTATAGAGGAATGAGCCACTGCACCCAGATTACTTTTGGTAGGTAACTGACAGCCACTCAGATTCTAAAGTTTGCTTAATTTTAGTTTTCAGCACTAAATTTAAAAATGCAAATTATATAAGTCCTCAAAAACTCATTTGCATTAATTATTTTAACCCTTTAATTGTATATACTGAAAATTGTTGTTTATAATAGAACTGTTTTGTTCTCTGTATGGTTGCAGCTGAAAGTTTGCATGTCCTCTGCCTTAATTTGGATTTGATTGTTCTAATTGCTAAGTAGACAAAGTTTAAAACCATCTCCCAACTAGCTATGGATAGTATTGTGGTCTGTTTTTTAGGTTGACCTATTATGTCATAACAACAACAAAAAACAAACAAACAAAAAAACTTTTCTGAACACATTTCTTGAGAGAGATAACTTTAAAGCTAGCTGAAGAAGTAGGATGAGACCTGATTTACTTTGATAATCACCATTAATTACTTATCATTTTCTGAAGAGATTCATTAGGTTAATATAATAGATTTTCCACATGTCCAGCCTCCCCTCCCATTTTTTTTTTTTTTTTTTTTAGTTTTGCACCACTGGCTATAATTTGTTGGATCTGTTTTTATTGTGAGTAGTAGTGAATGACTGTGATGCTTTCTTCGCTCTTATCTCTTCGTTATGAACAGACACTCCTGAAATGGTGGCTTTTCTTTATCAACTTCATTATCAACTGTCATCTGATTGCATTCATACTTGTTTTGCTTTGAAAAGGTGTCAGTTCCCTACCTTTGAGCAGTGTCAAGATTGGCTAAAGAGACTGAACAATGCCATCCGACCCCCTGGTAAAATAGAAGACCTCTTCTCATTTGCATACCATGCTTGGTGCATGGAGGTCTACGCCAGTGAAAAAGAACAACATGGAGACTTGTGCAGACCAGGTAGGCCAGACTTCTTTTGGAACTTTGCTTGAAGGTCCCTTTATCATGAAATGGGAACCTATGGGAGTCATGTCTTCAATCTCTTATTTTATAAAACACCTAGCATGTTTCCATTATTCTCAGTTTTGTAAGATACATTTCCTCTTTTCCAGGGGAAGGGAAGAAAACTGTGTTTGACACTTTAGTTTCCTAGGCCTAAAACGACTATCATTAGGTTGTGAGGATTATGGAACCGTAATGAAAGGAAGCTGTGAATTTTGTGTATGTGTTTGGTTATATTCATGTTATCCTGATCTTTTCTTAAAATGACAACATATGTGTGTGTAAGGTATGTCTGAAGTGCTAGGGATTGAACTCTAGATCTTGCATATGCTAAGCAATTGTTTGTAGTGTCAGCTAGTGTGTGTGTGTGTGTGTGTGTGTGTGTGTGTGTGTGGTAGATACACACATGTATGGAGGCCAGAGGTTGATATTGGGAGTCTTCCTCTGTGACTGTCCACCTTATATTTTGAGATAGAGTAAAGCTCACCAATTCAACCAGATTAACTGGCAGACAAGCACCAACAATCCTTCTGTCTTCAGCTTCCCCAGGCTGGGATTATAGGCACCTGCCACTGTGCCCTGCTTTTTACATGGGTATTAGGGATTCAAACCCAGGTCCTTATGTTGCTCAGACCCTGTCATCATGGTTTACACTCTGTGTGTGCGTGCGTGTGTGCGTGTCTGTCTGTCTGTCTGTCTGTCACTTTTGCTGCACACCTTTAGTCCAAGCACTTAAGGCAGACAGGCAGATTTCTGCTGAGTCCAGGACCAGCCTGGTGTACATAGCAAGTTCTGGGCCGACTGTGAGACAGTTAGCCAGCCCTACAGAGTGAGATCCTGTTTGACAGTTTTTAGAACGTGGTATTCCTCCCCCCCAAGTTTTTTAATGGTAAAGTTACAACAAAGTGCACAAATCTTATATTTACATTTGCTGTGTTTTAACTGTTGTATATTATTCCAGTTTTTATTTCTCTGTTGTCTCCTAGAATAATTTAGAAGTATACTTGTTGCATCTTGTTGTTTGTGACTGTAACTCTTAAGAGGTTTTGTCTGGCTTGGAGTTACCTGCCTTTTGCCAGTAAGGCTTGCTTGCCTCTATTTTGTTACTTCACAATTAGTCCCTTGGTAATTCTAGTTGTTCTTTTGGATTTGAGCTGGCTTTTAGGCTATTTCTAAAATGGGTGCTTTGTTCTGAGGAAGAGTCCTCAGGCACTTTCCTTCTCATGATGTTTGATATTCTCTGGCCATCAATACAGTTATCCAGTGTTATCTGGCTCTCTACAGCCTCTGAAACATGGGGCATGTAGTGGGTAGAGAATTGATTTTAGAATTCAAAAGGTTGAATTTAAGCCTATATTTTGTGTTTAATTGAGATAATACTAAGTAAGGCACTTAAACTTTCTGAACTTCACTCTCCTTTGTTTACCAAACTGGAACAGTTCACAGTCTTCCTGCCCAAATTAATATGGGTGTCTTAAAGATCTAATGTGTTAATGCTGCAGAGTTCAATTCAGTAAATGCTCACATGCCTCCTGTATACCAGGCTTGTGGAAGTTTTGCAGCTTCGGGGTAATGCCATCCTAACTGAGCAATTAGAAATTGTCTAGACTGGACGTTGTGTTGTTTCTTCTCAACAAGCACAGTTCACACTGATGTTAACCTGCTGCCACCTATATGGAATTTTACTGACACTATGAGAGAACCAGAGGGGTAGGGAGAGAATATATTTGGATTTTCCCCTTTATGTAGTTTTATTATGTAATACAGAGAGAAAACTTGTATTTATTAAATAAAATACTCTGATAGCATTTTTCATTCCAGCTATTGTGGTTTTAATACTTCCCCAATAGTGTTGAATATTATTGGCCACAGCTTACTCACAAAACAGGACCATACCAGACAACCACATTCTCATGTCTGAAAAGTTTATACAGCCTGATAAGGCTCTCTGCTGATGCAACAATCCAAATCAAACCAAATTAGGAGAAGCCATGTTTAATGGACACAGTACTCCTGGATGGCCTTCCAGTCCCCCAGGGGAAGATACGATAAAGGGAGACCGGAAAAACCATGAGTCTGTTTTCTGAGGGGGCAGTTTACTCTTTGGGAGTGGTCTTAAGCGTCTTTGGGAGAGAAGTTATCATTTGGCAGGCTTTCTGAGATGCAGCAGCTTTTGGAGAGAGATTAGGGAGGGGACTGGGGTGGAGCTTCCACCATAATATCCCAGATTCTATATGGATGCCAGGGACTGGGGTGAAGCTTCCATCATAACAATGTCATCTCAAGGATGAAAAAAAACATGAGATATTTCAGAGTGATGCCTTTGTATAGTCTACCCTAGAACATTAGACTACAAGCATAGACTCTGAGGTGCAAAAGTTAGTTTAGTCTTCAGCCATACATAGAGCCATTATTGGCTCCTCTCCAGCTAAGCACTGAGTACATCAGCAGGCAGGGAATTGGGATGACTCTATCATTGTCTTGGTATTCTTGTAAATTTTAGTGTTTGGCTGTTGAGCCTGTCATAGTGGAACCAGCTACATTGCAGCCACAATTAGGATTTACTCAGTCTTGGAAGAGGTCTTGGCATTGTTATGGATTCATTTGCATTACTTAGAACCCTTTATTAAATCTTGACTCTACTTTAACCTCATCTCAAATTCAGGCAAAGGACTCAGAACTGCCACCTTCATTCTCATGTCCTCAGCTTCAATAATAGTTACATTTTTCATTGCTGTGACATAATTCCTGACAAAAACAGCTTAACGGTTGAAAGGTTTATTTATCCCTGTTCATAGCTCATGATGAGGAAATCATCATGTCTTAGTCACTGTTCTTTTGTGCGAAGAGACAATATGACCAAGGTAGTTCTTATGTCCTAAGAAAACATTTGATTGGGGTTTGCTTACCCAGACAGAGGTGGGGAGCATGGCAGCAGGCAGGCAGGAATGGTGCCAGAGAAGTGACTGAGAGCTACATCCTGATCTATAGGCGGAAAGAAAGAAAGTCTGGGTTTGGCATGGACTTTTAAACCTCACAACCCACCCCATTGTCACACTTCTTTCAAGAAGGGCACACTTCCTAATCCTTCTAATCTTTTCAAAGAGTTCTACTTCCTGGTAACTAACCATTCATATATATGCACCTATGGGGGCCATTCTTGTTCACACTACCACACATGGCAACAGGGACTTGAGCCAGCAGTGTATATTGTGTCTTTGGTCAGAAAGCAGAGAACAATGAGTGCTCAGCTCATTTGCTCCTTTTTTATTTAATTCAGGACCCTTGCCCATAGAATGTACTGCCCAGAATAGTTGTCTTTCTATTTCACTTAATGTATGTAATTCCTTACAGGTATGCTTATAGATCTTGTCAGGTTGACAGTTGCTATTAACCACCGTTGTTTCCATTCTATGACATAGTCAGATTGTCTGTGCTGCCTCTGTATTAAAAACCAGGCTTGAATCCAAACTAGAGTGACAGATGACTGGACATTCAATTATTAGATTAATAGTACCATGCCTATTCTCTGACCTCTCTAGTAAGAAGTGCCCTTGTAAGATGTACTACATTACATCTTGTTTATCTGCAGGTAGCATGGGCTTGGGTCTTATACTGCTGTTGGGTTAGCTGTCTTCTTTTCTGGCCTTGGATGGAGTCTAAGAAGTATATACTTAAAGACTTTTAGGAACCTTGATACATAGAAAAAAAGTTTATTCCCCATCACTTGTAAATCTGGAAGGTGTATTTCTTAATCTTCTCTGGCTCTGGTGCTAGTCTTTGTCCTCACCTGTGCTTTGTGGGTTTGCATACTCATAATCATCCAAGGAGCTAGGCTTTTGTTAAAATTGCAGATTGACAGTGTAGCCTATGAAAGAGATTGCCCATTTGTTTTAAAAATTAATTTCAAATAAAATGAAAATGCTTGGAATGTGTAATTGTAGTGCAAGAAATACTAAATGTTGAAAAGGTGGATTAGGAAGCAGAAGAGGAAAATAGAAGAGTCAAAACAAATAAAAAAGAATTCACTCAAAAACCTAGTAAGATAGCTCAGTAGGTAGAGCACTTGCCATACAAGGTTGACAATCTAAATTCGATTCCTGGAATACAAGGAACCCAAGTAAAAGTGGAAGAAGAGAACTGGTTTCACAAAGTTATGGGTATGCATGCTATGGTACATAATGTGAGATTACACATATATATCATACCCACAATAATGAATAAATAAAAACTAAAAGTAAGTTGGGATATTAAAATATCTAATGTTTTATCTGTATAGACTTTGGAATTCTCAGATGGATGTTCAAGGAGGATCCAGCCATAGATTTATTTGTATTCACTTTTCTGGCTTAATAAACACAGATGGGATGGGGGCTGGAGAGATGAGGGGTAGTGAGTGAGGTAACTTACTGAAAAGAACTTTACTGTGCAGCCTAATGGCCAGAGTTTAATCACCAGGGCCTACAGACTGACTCCTCCAAATTGTCTTCTGACTTCCACATGAACACTAAAGCAAGCATGTACCTCTCAGATACACACAAATACACGTAAAATTTTGTACTAAGTATATACACAATGAAATTTTGTTTCTTTTTCTTTTATTGATTCTTCTGTTAGATATTTAAGGTTGTTCTAATTTCTTAGCTATTGTAACTAGCATATCAATAAACATGGATGAACAGATAACTGTGGTATGTTGACTTAAGAGTCCTTTGGGTTGCCAGGCAGTAGCGCCACACGCCTTTAATCCCAGTACTTGGAAGGCAAAAGCAGGCAAATCTCTGTGAGTTTGAGACTGTCCTGGTCTCTGTTAACACAGAGAAACCCTGTTTTAAAAAAAATAAATAATCCTTTGGGTATATATAGTAGTTAGTTTTTTGAGAAACCTCCCTATTTCCATAGTGGGTTTACCAGTGTATATTCCCACCAAAAGTCCTCTCTGTCCACATTCTTGGACA